AGTTGATGAGGGTAAACTGAAAAATAACAGTTTAAAGAGTTATTATATGAAATCTCTCACAGGTTGGTGGTTTTAAGCATTTTGGGGAATTTTCCCACTAAAAAACCAAAGCAAGCTTGTCGAATAAAAACTTTTTTTCCAAAACAAACGCAACAACAACAACAACAAAGCACATTTGGTAGACGACTTCACCCAAATGATGCACAGTGGTTGGTAAAGACAAGATGCTTCATGAATCCCTTATTCTAAACTGAACAAACTACCTGCAAACTTTCTCAGAAATGGTGCAAAGGTGGATCTTTGGTCGAAGTAAAGTGTGGTCACACCAAGAGCTGACTTTATCTAGTTAGTAAGGGTAAACTGAAAAATAATCATTTAAAGCATTATATTTCCGCTATCGGGTACCACATAAAACTGCTCACAGGACTTCACAGGTCGGTTATTTCAAGTGTTTTGGATTATTTTCTAGCAAATTTTTCAAACATGTTTGCCTTACAAACCTCATCTAAAAAAATAACCTTTTTCCTAAAACATTTTAGCTGAACTATTCTTTCTCCTTTGTCTCAAAGTGTTCAGAGCACATTCTAAAGTCATGTTCCGAAACGTCACCAAAATTAACCTTAATATTTTCATAACCTTGATAAAAGCATTCTTAAAAGAACAGAACTTTCAGAAGTAAAGCTTTCAGAATATGACAGCAACAAGTTTTGTGTTAGCTGGTGATTAGACCTTTGAGCCATCAATGTTGAAACTTCTCCAAGATGAACAAACTACGAGGAAACTTTCTCAAAAATGGTGCAAAGGTGGAACTTGGGCCACAGTACAGTGTGGTCACAACAGATGATGATTTCATTTAGTTGATAAGGGTAAACTGAAAAATAATTGCTTATTACAAGCGTTATTATATAAAACCTCTTACAGGTTGATTGTATTAAGCATTTTGGAGAATTTTCATACTGAAAAACCAAAGCAAGCCGAATAGAAACTTTTTTGCCAAAACAACAATAACAACAAAGCTCATTTGGTAGACGACCTCACCTTAAGTGATGCACAGTATGTACAGTGGTTTGCTAAAGACTAGACAGTTCATGAATCACTGATTCTAAAATGCTTTTACATTTGAGCCATCAGTGTAGAACCTTCTCTAAGAAACTCTCAAAAATGGTGCAGAGGTGGATCTTTAGCCACAGTACAGTGTGGTCACAGCAGGTGATGATTTTATTTACTTAAAAAGAGTAAACTGAAACATAATTGCTTAAAGCATTTTTCCCTGATATTCTTGCAATAGAGCACTACCTAAAACTTCTCACAGGACCTCACAGGTCGTTTTTTCCAAGCATTATGTAGAATTTTCTAGCAAGTTTGTTATACATGTTTGCATTACAATCCTCATCTTAAAAATAGCCTTTTTCCTAAACATTTTAGCTCAACTGAAAATATCACAACGTGTTCTAAGCACATTCTAAAGTCACATTCCGGAACGTTACTAAAATCATAAAATGGAATGTTCTCTTAATATTTTCATAACCATGATAAAAACATTCTTAAAAAAACAGAAGATTCAGAAGTAAAGCTTTCAGAACATGACAGCAGCTGGGGATTAGACTTTTGAGCCATCAAGGTAGAAACTTCTCCAAGATCAACAAACTACAAGGAAACTTTCTCAAAAATGGTGCAAAGGTGGATCTTGGGCCACAGTACAGTGTGGTCACACCAAAAGCTGAATTTAGTAAATTAACAAGAGTAAACTGAAAAATAATTGCTTAAAGCATTATTATTTATTTCATATTCTCACTATAGTCCACTACATAAAACTTTGGTCAATTGTTCAAAACATTTTGGATTTTTTTCTTGCAAGTTTATCAAACATGTTAGCGTAATAATCCTCATCTTTTTCCTAAAAACATTTTAGCTTAACTATTTTTTTTCTTTCTAAATGTCACAACATGTTCAAAGCACAATCTAAAGTCATGTTTCCAAATGTCACCAAAAACCGGAAACTTCCCTTAATATTTTCAGAACCTTGATAAAAGCATTCTTAAAAGAACAGAACTTTCAGAAGTAAAGCTTTCAGAACTTGACAGCAGCATGGTTTGTGTTAGTTGGTGATTAGAGCTTTGACCCATCAATGTTGAAACTTCTCCAAGATGAACAAACTACGAGGAAACTTTCTCAAAAATGGTGCAAAGGTGGATCTTGGGCCACAGTACAGTGTGGTCACACCAAAAGCAGATGTTAGTAAATTAACAAGAGTAAACTGGAAAAATAATTGCTTAAAGCATTATTATTTATTTCATATTCTCACTGCAGTCCACTACATAAAACTTTGGTCAATTGGATTTTTTTCTAGCAAGATTCAAGAGTTCACACTTAGTTGATGATTGATATAAGCAAGTTTGGCATGCTGTCCCCGGGAGAGAGCCCAGAGCTCAAAAGGTCCTTGAGCCCTGNGCTCCCCTCCCGTTTGCAGGGCGGGACGGGAGCCTTGACCTCAGGTAGATCTGGACAACTCCCCCTTGATAAAAACAGATGACTAAAAATTGCATGCTATGAAAAGATGTGCTGCAGGGTGAGAGATTAACTGTAGTGCAAAATTTAGATTGATCAATTCACTTGTTGTGCATGTTGTTGGACCCACGCGAGCACGGGAAGAACATGCAAACCATGCATAGAAACGACCACCAGCCTGTTAAAGGACTAGAACTGCTAACAGTGCTAATCACTGGGCCACCGTGCAGCCCTATTGAGGGATAGGTGAAGAGGTGGAAGGGGGATTCTTCAAATCGAAGATGACTGCAGTGAAAAAACCCTGGCTCTTTATAGTGGGTTTGGACTGGCCTGATTGGTGGATCATGTATGCTAATGCAGAACCAGCATTCAATGATAATCACGTGCTCCTCTCCAAATTAGTTTATGAATAAACTTCACTTATCAAGTATGTTAGCATAACAATCTTCATCTTTTTCCTAAAAACATTTTAGCTTAACTTTTCTTTTTCTTTTTTAAATGTCACATGTTTAGAGCACATTTAAACGTCACGTTCCCAAATGTCATCAAAATACAGAATCTTTCCTTAATATTTTCAGAACCATGATCCAAGCATGAGAGCATTTGAAAAGAACAGAACATTCAGAAATAAAGCTTTCAGAACCTGACAGTAGCATGTCTGTGACAGCAACTTGGGATGCGTGCAACGGGGATGCACATAAATATAAAAACAGCACTCCTGAAACCACGCAAATTGCCTGCAGTAGCGCATGGGTCTGAGCGGCAGGTCCTTTAGTGGCCGGCTGGACTAATGGCTGAAATCTGTGAGTGTTTGATGTGCTCTGGCAGCCAGCGAGTGCCACAGATCCTCTGAGCTTCAAGGGCAGCCATTTTAAGAGCAGCAGCAGCAGCAGCGTGTGCCGAGGTGTTCAGGCAGAGCGTAACATGGACTCGCAGATCTGATCCTCTCGCTGCCACTGGAGAGCAGCTGACAGAAATCTATCTAGCAGATGTAACGCACCCAAAACCTTCAGCCTGCACCGCTCAGCACAACCACAGGAGGGAAAAAAGGAAACCTCCTCTGCATGCCAGTCTGAGCTCAGCTCCTCGTGTTTAACATCTTGGAGTTTCAGAAAACACATCAGATTTTTGTACATCCAGCAGAAGCTTTCAGTCAGTGCCGTTTACTGTAGGTGTGGGACAGGAGCATGTGCTGAGGCTGGACTGGTTGGTTATTGATAAGAATGCTTGATTTAAAGGTTTGTTTTAGATCTTTGGCTTAATGTTGAAACTTCTCTAAAATGGACAAACTCTCCACAAACTTTCTTAATATTTGCATGAACACATTTTAAAATAGCAGGGCGATCAGATTAAAAGGTTCTTGATGGATTAAAAACACATATCACATGTTTGACATGCAGCAGGAGCTTTCATCTAACGTCATTTACAGTAGGTGTGGGGCTGGAGCATGCGCTGAAGAGGCTGGAATGGCTGATTCTCCACAAAAATGCTTCTTTTAAAAGTTGCTTTTGTTTCACATCTTTGGCTTGTGATTGCCATCAATGTTGAAACTTCTCCAAGATTAACAAACTGACCTCAAACCTTCCTAACATTTGCAAAAACGTGATAAAAACATTGGAACATTTCAAAAACATCCAGAAGTAATGAATCCCATTTTAGATCTAGCACAGGGGTCACCAATCTCCTTCCTGGAGGTCCGGGGCCCTGCAGAGTTTAGCTCCAACTTGCCTCAACACACCTGTTACGATAACCAGCGATCGTTCGTCATAGATCGCTGGTTCTCCCACACAACAAATCAAGGACTACACTTCCGCCTTCTCCTGGACTACATATTCATACATGCTCTCCGGTCACACTCACACATGCTCAGTCATCTAGACTGATTACATTCACACCACCTGAGCCTTGTCAGAGACTGATTGCACTCACTACTTAAGCCACTCATTCACCCATCCAGTTTGCCGAGTCTTGTTTATCTGTTGATGACACTACAACGCGTTCTCCTAGTCTTGTTTTCCCGTGTCTCGATCTTAGCCTTGTTTATCCTTGTTCTCATATATAGCCGCCTGCCTTACGACCTATTGCCTGTATATTGATAACGATTCTGGATTTGCCTGCACGTACCTGTTTACACCTGATTTGACCATTGCTTGCCTGACGCTGAATAAACCTGCATGTTGGATCTTACCTCCAGTTGTTTGTGTCATCCCCGGTCGTCACAACACCTGCCTGGGTGTTTCAAGTATACCTAGTAGGAGCTTGATTAACTTGTTCAGGTGTGTTTGATTAGGGTTGGAGCTAATATCTGCAGGACACCGACCCTCCAGGAACAAGTTCGTGATGCCTCTAGCAGAAGCTNTCACCCAAAAATATTTACAGTGTGCTGCGCTGAAGATGCTGGAATGGCTCATTCTTGATCAACATTACCATTTTAAAATAGTTTTTTAAATATTCTTGGCTTGTAAGTGTCACCAGTGTTGGAACTCTCCAAGATGGACAAATTGCCCTCAAACTTTCTCAAAAATGGTGCAAATGTGACTGATAGGCTGACTGACAGGTGCGTGATGCTTGAGGCCAGCAAACACGACCGTTTCACTTTACTTCAGGACGCATTACTGCTACTCTGTAGGTCTATTAGAGAAATTCATAAATACTCCTAGCAAATCTAATAAATGCCGGAGATATACTCGTTACATAAACGCACTAAATCGCACTTCAGCATCGTTTGTTTGAGAGCGCACAAGAAGATCTGCGTGCTCTTGAAGCGGCTAATATTTGAGGTGGCGTGCAAGAAGTTTTGTGCACGAGCAGAGGAAATCGGCACGCAAGCAAAGAGATTCATATGCTTGTACATGTAGGTTATTACATAAATGCGATCTCGACTTCTAATACTGTGCTCACGACATTTGTCATTGAAATAACGCCACAGGTATTTGGTAGATTTGTGTAAAAATAAAAGGCCTGCCACCACAGCTGGAAAAATT